GCACAAGCTGTAATCTGAAATGAATCAAAAGCACTGGCTATGTCTCGGTGAAAAGAGCTGATGCTGCCTTCAATAGCTATTCCATGTGACTGCTTTCTCAGGGGTGGCCTGAGGTATAGCTGTTATAAATGGCAGTATTTTGTTGTATCACTCAGGAACTGAAAACAGCTTGTCCAAGGACAAATATCATGTCTTACAATTCCTTTGGCTCTGGTCAGTCTTCAGATCTCTCCATCATCGCATCGGCACTTTCATATGGTTTTAAGGAAGAGTTTACTGAGCTCTGACCCTGAATGCTAGCTAATATATATATGGCCATAAACATGTTGCCAGTTTTAGTAACTTTGTACTTCAATGAAATCTTGCTGTGAGGAAAATCCTTCTGATGGGGAGGGTTTAACCTACTGGGATATTTGAAACAATTGAGAGCAGGGTTGAAAATGAAGTGTGAACATCAGCTGGTGAGCCTGGCTTCCTACTAGCAATAACACATTTAGAGAGCCTTTAATGACTTTCTACATCAAACAGTTGTCTGAATCAAACAGTTCTCTATACCTGACGTTGGCAAAGAGAAAATCTAAGGCTTCCTCAAATCTATAGCTGGGCAAGGAAGGGCCTGGGCAGAGTTTTAGACAGAAACTCTGCTGTGACAGGGAGAAAGGCAGCAATGGGTGCGTCTACATAGAATAAATGGATATCAAAAGAATATATGAAGGGCAACAGGGTTTCCCAAACTGCTTGGAGTGAGGCCAGTGTAGATGTGGTGGCCCAGCAAGGGACAAGACCTAGAACACAGGCTGGAATAATGCAAGTCTTGGAGAATGTTCAGGAAGGTACAACTCAAAATCTATCCTATCCCCAGAGCACACCCAGACTGGTGTTGGGGAAACAGCAGCCCTACCAAATGTGCACCCTTCTCCGGAAGCCTTGGAGTCCAGCTCTAGAGTAGAAGGGCAGTTTCTTACTAACATCACAAGTTGGCAGCTCATAGAGAAAGATGGATGGAAACAAGATTTGCAAATTGCTTTAGCATGGGTTCTTCTGCATGGAAAACATTACTGATCTTAAACAAGATTAGGAAGAAGGCTAGAGCATGCCTTGGAATTCTTGAGCCACAAGGAGACAAGGTCCTGGTACTTTAGTTCCCTGTATTCTGCAATCACTTTGTGTGGGTGGGTGGATTTGGCTGGTTAAGGACAAGCAGTGGTGCATTTCTCCAAAACATCTGGATGCTGCATACTGAGATGCATGAGTGACCCCTGTGGAAATGTTCTTGCTGAGTGCAGGGATTAGAGCTGTGTGAACACTGGTTAGAAAAGAAAGCTTCATTTTTTATTGCTGTTAGTATTTTTTTTGCAAATCAAAAATCATAAACTTTATTTCAGGTCAAGTGAAAATGTGTTTCTATCTCCAGTTTTTTAGCTATACTTGAACAACCCCACTCCTCACACAGCAGGAAGTGATACCCACTGAGGCAAGATGTCAGTCAGAGAGCCTGTCAGAAGAACACTGTGGCCCATTAGGAGCTCTGGTCTCTATGCTGTCAGTGGGGTAACTGGGGTTTCCCAGTTATAGGGGGATGTCACAGGAGAGGATAGAGCACTGACTGGTGAAGGGCTCAGTCCAACCTCTATAAAGCAAATTCTTCTCCCTGAAAGGACTGTTGCTTGCTCAGCTGTGATGGAAATTTTCACTGACAAGCCCTGCCAATCAGAGATTGTTGGCCAATCGCTAATACCTGGGGGTGGGGACTAGCTGCAGAGTGTAAGTTGCCTAGAGGCTGGCAAGAGCATCTCTCAGTGTACAGTAGTTGCTGTCTCAACCAGAGCACAGCAGCACTGTTCACAGCAGACAGAGAAACCTTCCTTTCTAAAGGAGGGGTCCTCTTAGCAGTTCACTGGTTCGGGTCCTCTCAGTCTCTGGCAGAATAACATTAAGATCCTTTTGGAGAAGATGATGGCATGTGCGGAGATCCTGACTATGTGCTTGCTGTCTGCCAAGCACACTCACAGCCCTAACTCCATGCAGACCCCTCAGCGTTATGGCAAGGGACTACCCATCTTCCATGATGTAAGTAGAGTGCTGTGCACTTGTTTTCAGTTCTGTTGTGCAGTGTGCATGTCTTTATCCTGATCCAAATGCAGGGGACAGGGCAAAACAGGCAGAAATTGGTAGTTGTTGGAAAGCAGCATAACTATTCCCTCTTCTCACAGCTCCTCTTTCTGCAAGCCCTAGATCAAAGATTTCTAAATCCCACAGTATCTGAAGCCACAAGCACCCTGCTGTCTGCATGCACTGGGTTTGTGAAAAACTTGCCAAGTCCTAGAGGGAAGATGCAATGACTTGAAATGGAGATCGGGCACTGCAGACTTGAAAAATCCTCTCTGCATCATGTTTCAGGGACAGATGATGTTTTAACAGCTGCAAATAGTGTGTGTGTCTTGATCCTTGTATGCATGCAAGCTGGACATTATGCATACTTTCAGTAACTTCCACCCAAGTTCCTGTGCAAAATCTGTCTTCTTGGGCCCAAAAGGCAGTTGCATTCCCAGAACAGGTGTAAGCATCTTCATCAGGACAATGGAGAATTGCAAGTGCTTGCCCTTTTCTGCTCTGCATCTGCATAGTTGTGGTTTTGATGCCTGGTTTTTAGTATTTGCTTCCTGATATTCACTGAAGATCATTTGGATTTGGAAAGAATGAGAAATGTGTTATCTGGTTTAGAAAAATCCTTGTTTCCCCAGAGGAACAATGTGCAGTCAAAATTGTTCTCTAACCATGCAGCATGCCTATTTAGTTTGCCAGCTTGGAAAATTTCTTCTCATTCATTCATTCATTCAAGGGTTTGTTTGTTTTTTTATTTGTTTTTAATATGCAAATAAAATATTACATGTTTCCTTTTCACTCGCCAGCCACATTGTAAAGCCTGGACCAGGAGATTTTGTTCTGGCTGGTCAATTTCCATGATTAGTTTACAAAGAAAGTTTAAATTACATCATTCAATTAGGATCTTAGGCTACAGCTGTTCAGGTAGTAAGTTTAAGTTGCCAGAATGTATTTTAAAACCTCAGCCAGGGAAATTGGTTAACAAAGATTTGCTGTAGCTGGCAGTCACATATTTAAAGTGACTAATGGAGCATTCCAGCTCCAAAGATGACTGCCACTGCAAAACATTTGAATGTGCCTTTGCTTTTAATGTACTGTATTACTACAGTTTTGTGGATGTTACCTGATTATTGTGTTCACTGCTTCTTATAAACAAAGAATGAAAAGCAGCTTTGAAATAATGACATGACTTAAGGCTCCTAACACTGGAATCCTGGGAGCTAAGAACAGCTGCCAGTTCTTTCTGCAGCTTTGTGTTCAAGTAAAGAACTTTCTGCCAAAATGTTTCATCTTGACATTAAAAACAAACAACACATTGTGCTTGATTCCTTTATCCCCTGGAGTGTACCTTATAGCCATTAACTGAAAACACCAAGGCTGATCATACAAAATCTAATTCCATGAAGGGTTGAAGAAGCTGGATGCTGTAGCCTTTTTGTGGCTTGTCATGCAAGTTCACAGATTCATAGATGTTAGGGTTGGAAGGGACCTCAATAGATCATCGAGTCCGACCCCCTGCATAGGCAGGAAAGAGTTAGGGGAGAGCACCACCTCCCTTGGGAGCCCATTCCAGACCTTGGCCACTCTAACTGTGAAGAAGTTCTTCCTAATGTCCAGCCCATGGTGGGTCCCTTGGTTCCACCTGACTCAGACACCATCCAGCCATGGCGTCCTGCTGCCCCCTGGGCATGAAGCAGGGTTGGAGCAGCTCCGCAGCTGGACTATCATCCTAGGCAGCCCAGGCAGCAAAATCTCCTTCCAGCTGCTGCCACTGCTGGCCCCATCCCTGTGGTCCTGACTGGAACCTGTGCTGCACAGCCCTGACCCTGTGTGTCCCGTGCCTGCTCCAGGCTCACCTG